TCTTCTGTCCGTTTATGCTCGCTTATGCGTGAACTACGTCTCCGTGCTGTTTGGCCTGCATAATGACGGGGACAGTCGTAACATGAAATCTGATATACTGTGTAACTGAAAGTCGATGAAAGAAAGCTACGGCAAAATGTGAGACAGTGCCTTCTGTCAACCTAAAACACTGCTAGTATAGGTTAACAGATTCCAAAGAGCTGATAGCGTCCTCCTGTTCATCACTCATGGGTTCGTAATTACTGCAGACAATCACCTGTGCAGTTCCCAAGGGATTCGTCTTGTCACTCAGGTGTTGAAGGGGAAGAAGAGCGATATAATGTTGGGAATAAAAAAACTCCGGAAAAGAAAGTGGAGTAAAAGATGGGTGAAGAGGGGGTTAGACGGATCAGTCCCTTCTTCGGTGAATCGGTGTTCAACTTGAACACCTAAACGGCCAGTACATCGAGTTAAGCGAATTTTACTTGCAAGGATTTGAAAAGCCTACTGCTGCCGCACTTTCCTGAGGCGGAGTTAGCTCAGCTTATTCAACATTATACTGACAAATTTACTTTTGGCTGATCTCGGACGGAGGATTGCAACAAGTAAACGTATCTCTAATGTGAATCGAGTCGAGATGCACTAAAAATGTGCTGCCCGTGCGGGCTAGACTGCAGACGCTGACATGGGAGTGCGGTAACATGCGAGAAAAAAAGTGTCGCCCAAAGTACCCTGGTTTTTTAAGAGCTCAGGGAAATGATGCGTTCGAGTTCCAGGCCTAAACTTAACACTAAGAAAATAGAGTTACATTCGTTTGTGCGTAAGTAGATTACAGTACAGTATCACATTACGGACAACATTGACGAAAAAGTAAGTTCCAAAAAAGCCCGTTGTGATATTTTTACACTTAATGAGGGACAGCATGTCAAATACCATCAAGCGGCGATTGAGGTGCGCCACTGAAACAACATACAACGCAGTCGAACTCATATTCCTCAGCCTTATTAAGACTATCCAAGTTCCACGGGCGAAGGATGCCTTGCCGTTATATGCCACGTCAAATTGTGTTTATGAATTCACATGCACTTGTGGATGCAAGCGCATTGGGAGATCACAGATGCAAGTGGCAGCCAGGTCAGTTGAGAACTTGCCTAAATGGCTTCTAAAGCAGAAAAATGAAATTTCCCGTTCTTCCATCGTAAAGCACCTCCTAGACAGCAGTCGCTTCGTTTACCCTGAAGCAGCCTTATGGGTATTAGTCCGGGCACGAACAACTCGGATATTGTGCTACTAGGAGGCAGCCTACACACGGTGGGAAATACCCGACCTGTGCAATCTGTTAAACCGCGTGGTCAAACTCAGTTTTCCCTGGTAAATCTCTGCCTTTTTGATTTGCACACCACCTCTGCGTGCTAACTCCCCCATTTTCTTTCCCAAGTTGGGTTTTTAAGTTACCGCTTTTATTGATTAGTCTGCCTGCACTGAACGATGACCACGCTATTTTGTATTGATTTTATCTGCGGAAGTTTAAATCACCATATCTTTCTCCTTCGTCATCTTTATTATGCAGCGACAGGGTGCAGTTGATAAGCCGTCTCGAAATTTGTTGCCTCCAGTAAATTCTGTTGTATATGCTTGCTTCAAAGAACATAGTGCTTTCTCATTTGGTTAATTCAAGCGACTCATCCATTTCCTGAGTCATGAAAAGCATCTGTATGAAAGCTTCAATCTAGCGCGAACAGCAATATTGTTGGAAACATAGCAACCCATAATCGTATTTGATCAAGGATGAAACAAAAAGTGGTACTTATTTAAACGACTTCAAAAATGACATGAGTTTTCAAAATTTCAGTCATATGTACAATACGTTTCTTGAAAAAGCCATCGACCAGGGTGCCTGCCACTAAAGGAAGCCGTACCTGAAGTAGGAAAGCCCCTGTCTAGCCCCTAAACCTAATTCTAACTCTTATCCGTGATCTCTGGCCCAAATCCCTAATCTTAACCCCTAACCCCGAACCCTAACCCTAACCCCTAACAGTTACGGCTACGAAATAAGATCTTGCCGGGGAGCTTTGCATGTGTGTAATATGATTAAACGGCAGCACTGGGCGCTGATCGCCATGCCTAAATTTGTTCGGCACGCAATGTTAATCCGCTCACTACGAGGCGCCAACTTCTGTTTGAGATTCGGTCGACTCAACCTGTTCGCCTTCGGCAAAAAATAACCTCTGTATTATGTTTTTGCGACTTATTTTAACAAAAAAGTAAAGGCTCTTTGGAAAATCGAGTTGTACTCGTTAATTTTCAAGTTGGTAACACCAACCAGTCGTCAGACCAAATGAGCACGAGAGAAAGTGAGATCGGCAGACTAGGTTGATTGGCGCGACAGGACAGACAACGATAGACAGACAGCTGATGCGTGAGAGAGCTGGGCACCGATTTATAGTAAGCTTTGGGGCAGAAGGGTGCAAAGAGGAAACCGTCAGGGCTCACTGTGCTGGAGGTGGAGGAGGAGGAGGCGGAGCGGAGGCTTTGCGGATCAGTGGGAATGAGGTCGGATGATCATCGATGGGAGATGAGGTCAGGGGGCAGTTCGCCGGCGTTGGAGGTGTTAGGAGTTCCGATTGTCGTTCACCGTGTAGTAAGGGGGTGGAAGTGGGGAGACAACCACATTCTACGTGGCCGAGTAGGGATTGACGGTTGTTAAGGCGTGGGAACAAGTTATTGGGGGCGAAAGAAAACCAACAATGCCAAGCTTTGTGAAGTCCTTGCGTTTGCCAGTACCGTCCCAATTGAAGCGGTGCTCTTACTCAAGAGCGTGCGCAAACTCGAGAGACAGAGGGTCACGTTGGCAGAGGGCCAACTTATGCTTGTTTATGTGAGTCCCAAGACATCGGCCTACATTTTAATGCTTAAATATAGTGTTTGTAATGTCCCCTAAAAAAGTCAACAAAACCTCGTTCTGATTTCTCATTTGCAGCTAATTTATCGCCTCCGGGCATACAACGTCAGTACTTTTTTACTGCTCAGTAAGCTGTAGACACCTTGGGGCGAATGCACACCTTTCATATTAGTAGCATATGCTTTCCTTGCGACATGAATGATCGTCCAAAGAACACTTTTTGTCATTTGATACTACCGACCAGTGGGAACGCTAAATCGCTCAGGGCCGGAATTAAGCGCCCCTCAACGTGCCACCCTCTGGAAGTCCTGTCAAGGACTCTGCTCCCTCCTCCCCAAATTACTAACTGCCGTCGCTGACTGTGGGGCGGGGTTGTGGAAAATTTGATCTCCTCATATTTCTGTCTAGTGAGACTGCAAAAATGCAGCTCAGGTTACAGCTTATTTACGGCCCTCGCGATCGCAGGCAGACAAAAATACTTACATCGAAATGCCACAATTTGTTCTTGAAAACAAACGACCTGCTTGGCCGGAATCAGGCATTAGAAGCTGATCATAAATCGAGTTAAATTTATTGGTCCGCAGAAAACATGGAAAACGGCATTTATTCGATTAATTCCTACGTATTGATAACTTCACAGGATGTGTTGGGTCAAGCGTCGATTGCTTCTGACTGTCGCACCTGAATTGTCACACTTTAAAGCTAGCGTATTTAGACTTCTACTCACGACAGTTTGCATCGCCTTTGGCAAAAAAGAAAAGCTGTTTTGTCCTAAGGCGGTGTCCCTCGCACAGTACGGTACGACGACGGTTGACACGTGCCTGATGAAGTGTTGAACTGGTAATGCTAAACGCGCGCGACTTCTGGTCAGCAGTTGGCCGTCGGGTTTAGCATTTGGACGCCCCACTGAAGCTTCCAGCCTCCTAGCATTGAGTCCCCGAGAAGCGCGAAATGGACCTCCACCATGGTTACGCATGAACTCAGCATCCCCAACCACTTTAGCGGTTTTTATACTCACTGAACCCCGGTGGCAAATGACAACTTGAATACTAAACTCAGAAGTCCATAGATGGCATGAGTAATTAGTACCAAAGGGTTTTAGAGTTGAGGAATATTGCCTAATATCGCATTTAATGCTCAAAAGAGGTCGTGGGATAGTGGCGGCGAATTAAGTCGTCTGAATACACTCCGCAATATAGTTATATAAAGGTCATATAAACATTATTGCAATTTGGTTATTTTCTCGTGTGGAGAACGGAGAGTTACCCTAAAAGGCTGTTGCGTCCCGACAAGCATGTCTTACGGCAGTGAGCCCAGGCTTGAGGTGGGTTGTAGAGTTGTCAGATTACACAAAAATCAAGTGTCTGGCAGCTGCTGAGTGTGGAAATCTGTTTTTACAGTGAATGACCGGTCTCATGAAATGTTGACGGAAATTCTGAAATGCGTTCTCAATTAGGAAGTCATACTTAGGCGCGGTTGTGATTCTAATTGTCATTCGGCATAATCGTATAATATTTCGGACTGGCCAGGTTGTTAGCTTTTGAGTGCACTAGGTCTTAATCCCTGTAGGAACCGTAGTCGGGGAAAAGTGACTACTTAAGGAGCAAGCCCTTTTCCAATTTATTCTCGATGGTCTTGAAAGTAAAAAATATATTTTATGAAAACCATGGACAAAAATATGCTTTCTTATGATTTATCGATATCGAATCACGTCTTCTTTATAATTTATACTCAGAGACGTAATATAATGAGGCTTTTAAAAAGTTTCTAATTATGAGATTTTATAAAACTGCGTAATGCCCATTCATATAGAACCGAACCTGTCCGTTTACCACAGCTTATCATGAAATGCAAAAGATAGCCGCATCTATTGCAAAATATTATGGAGTCCACGGATGGATGAGAATATGCGCATCCCAGGTTCTTGTTTAAAAGAAGGCGAAGGCGCGATCAGTGGGACAGTAGGTTTATTTGCCTGAGCTTTCGAACTCGAACTAGAGTTCATCATCAGAGACTACTCGAGTGCAGCAAATTGTGAACATTTATATCGTTCATCCTTGCGAGGGCGGGAGGGGGAGTACGACCGTGGCTAGGTAGGGTTTGTGCCGCCTGGTCCACGATGTTCCCCCGGCGTGGTGACGCCGTTTGGACTTCGCGACGGTGTGAGCTGCGCCACCTGGCTGCGTGGGCGGAGCGCGTGATAACACGCAGGCAAATCGATGTGCCTGTTGATAGAGTTGGTGTCCGACACCCACGCTTCCAACAGCTCTCGCCCTGTCTTGTTGCCGGCTCGCGCCAATATCCGCGTGTTGGCGAAGTCGAACTCATGCCCTTCCTCCAGCGTGTGAGTGGCTACTTGAGACAGTGGGTCGCCTCTCCGAACGGTCCGTTTGTGCTCAAGTATTCGTGAGCTCAGACGTCGTCCTGTCTGGCCTGTGTAGTGGCAAGGACAGATTTGGCACGGGATTCAAAAGACTACGCCTGACTGTTCACCTGCGTCCAGTCGATCCTTCATTTTCTTGATCCTGCTACGCATGGTGGCCGCCGGATGATGAGCGATGCCCACGCCTAGCTCTGACTCGATGCGTTCTGTAGCCTCGGACACATTCTTTATGTAAGGTAGGGAGTGCCGAATTGTTGTTTTCTCTCTTTCGTTTGTCCGGCGTGGGTGCGCTCGTATGCAGCGACTGATAAAACTATTTGAGTAGCCGTTCTTTGTTAATTGGTCCCGGAGATGCCGTTGTTCTTGCATCCTTCCTTTGGGCTCGCTACAGTGCATTTGCACACGGTCGAAAAGCGCCCTCACACAGTCCCGTTTGTGCACCAATGGGTGGTTGCTATGATAGTTGAGGACCTGGGTTGTAATGGTGGTCTTGCTGTACACTGTAGTGCTGAGTTCACAGTCAGATGTGCGCGTGACGAGCACGTCCAGGAAAGGTAGTTTTTCTTCCTCCTCGTCTTCTCTTGTAAACTGAATGTCCGAGGAATTTGCTGTTAAGTAAGTTTTGAAAGTCCGATAGCTTGTCCTTTTCAATAGTGACGAATGTATCGTCCACGTATCGGCGACAAAACGCAGGTTTGTCATGGCTGAAAGCAAACTTTTCCAGCTCCTGTAGGACCAATTCCGCAACTAGTCTGGATATTGGGGAACCCATGGGTGTTCCTTTGATTTGTTCGTATGTTCTGCCATTGAAGGTGAAAAAGGTTCGTTGGCAGAATGCAAAGAGCTGCATTAGGTGCTGGATCTTTAGCGGCCTTGTCGTTTCGTCGTACTTTTCTTCGAGGCGTTTGCGTAGCACGTCACGCGCCAAGTCTGGTGGGATGGAAGTGAAAAGTAAGACAACGTCGAAGGATACTATGATTTGGTCGGGTTGAATAGTTTTTCCTTGAATGTCGGCAGGAATTAGGAGGCTGAATTGACGGACGTCACAGAGCCCTCTTGGAGAAAATTGAGCTTTCGAAACCATCCATCTGGCTAAATTGTATGTGCGGCTGCCTTTCAGGGCATCGATTGGCCGCTGAGTAACGTTAATTTTGTGGATTTTTGGTAGTACGTAGAATCTGGCAAACGCCGTGTCGGTTGGTTTTGTCTGGCGTCATTCGTCCAGCGAGATTACATTGTTGCGCCAGAGTCGTCTAAGAGTCCAGTCAGCTGGCCAATGATCGATTTGGCCTGCGAGGCGGGTGTGGACCTGTAGGATTGCTGGTCGTCCAGGAGAGCTTGTGCCTTCTTGTTGTAATCAACGCGGTTCATCACAACTGTTGCTCTTACTTTGTCGGCCGATAGCACTATAAGTTCTTGGTCCATTTTTAATCTTTTCATTGCTTCTATTTCTGCGGGTGACATATTGCTAGCGTGCCTGTTCGTCATCAGGAGAGAGGTAACCTTTTGGCACACCGTGTGTTTAGCCTCTTCGCTTGCGTTAGTTCGTACTAACATGGCCTCAAGTGCGGCAATGAAGTCGGCTGGGGTGGCATCAGCAGTGTTAAAAATGGCTTCGTGGCTCAACATTCTGAGTTCCGTTTCGTTTAACTGCTTCGACGATAAGTTGTGTATCACATTTTCGTTCGTATTGATTTCCGGTTTCAATTTGACGGCTTTTTGGTCTAGATTCATGCGTTTCATTTCCTGTCTCGCTTTTGCCACGGTTGATATTGTTTGGTCCAGACACTCAGTAACTGATTCGCCGAGCAATGCCGTGCACTCCGCCCTTCTTTCTTCTATAACTCTTCGGTACTCGCGCAATGTTAAAATATAAAAACGACGTGGATGTCTATCAAACGGCTGAAAAAAGCTCATTTTTACTCATGTTTTCTATAAAATATATTTGCATTTGCAAGACCGTCGAAAATCAATGGGAAAAGTGCTTGCTCCTTAAGAAGTCACATTTCACCGAGTACAGTTTCTACAGGGTTTAAGACCTAGTGCATTCAAACTCTTACATCCTGTTAAGTCTGAAATATTATAGGATTATGCCGCATGGTAATCAGTATTACAACCGCGCCTAAGTAAACCTCCCTAATTGGGATCGCATTTCAGAATTTCAGTCAACATTTTATGAGATCGGTCACGCACTGGATACCAGAGACGGTAGCCAGTGCAGGAAGAGGAGGGCGTAGGACTGCCAAGGAAATTGCCTTTTACTCGCTTGAGCTGCGATCGAATTTCGTCAAGGTTCTCTGGCTCGCTGTTAAGTAACAAACACAATGACCTTTTGCCTCCACATTCTTTACTGCGGCTATGCGTGAACAGAGTAATTTGCCACGCGATGGAACGGGCGACCAACAGGCCTAGTGACAGCTTGCCATATGGTCGGGCGATCGTCAGGATAGGGTAGGACGACATGATGAAATTCACGGACATTAACCACTCAGGTGCGGGCAAACAGATAATCCTTTCATGATCCACTGCTCTCAGAGATAAAGTGAGATGGCAGAAATTATCCTACGCAATGTGGTTGCACGGGAATTGCGTCATATAAATACTTCACAAAATATGCGTCCGTTAGTCGCACATGCGGCTGTCTCTAATAATAAGTTCGAGTGAGAATCCAAACCGTTAGGCCGATGAAATTCTTTTGCTTGAGATTGCATCTTATTCCTCTTAAGGTGATCATCAGTTTGTGACACCTTCCACACGAAAGGGGACTTGTAAGTTTTAAGGAAACAAATAAAAAAGCTTGCCTCCATCCCTGCCTTAATAAATATCCGCTCTGAAGTGTCAGATAATGACGGCAGGCAATGCACTAATTGGCTTCCGTTCAGTGAATCGCGCGTACCCCGTCTAGCAGACCCCGTCTGTGGATCATCTGTGTTGTGTGAAGGTCTGTAAACGTCTTTAAAGGCAGGATCAGCAAGCCATGTCCCTATCAGCATGGTATGCGCTGGCATTTCTTTGGCACCTGGTCCCCTGCTGGTAGATGTGTTAGCTCTTCCGCTGGATATACAGGCCGTGAGCATGGCTGCCCAGTCATCTTCGTCTTCTAAGCCGTTGTAAAGTAGTTTTTGTTGGTTGAAATCCTGGTCATCTGTTATGTAGACCAGGGTGTGTGATAGTACGCATAGGTGCGGGATTTCGCTGCGTCAGACACCTGTGCGCTCCCCCGCCTCCGCTCTGTCTCGACAGCGGTGCAGGCTAGGAGGTGGAGAGAGTGCGGTAGACGCTGAGCAAGTCTACATTCACTATAAATCACGTGCAAGTCGCCGTGCCTGCTTCATCATGCTGTGAGGCACACGGTGGCATTGTTGGCAACGACGGTGGAACTGTCGTTGTTTGCGTGCGCCTGTTAGTGATTCCGGATCGTGATGTTTGTGGGGAATGATATTGGCCGAATGGCGGCAGAATACGCCCGGAATAATTTTCCATCAACATACCCGCACCCAAATCGCCATCTTCTGTCTGTTGTGGCTGGGGGTCGCCTGTGCGAGAGCCCTCGCCCGCAATTGGAGTGTGTTTTGCGAAGCCAGTTGATCTCTCATGTGTCAGCAACAATATTTGTCATGTTAGTCGTTCTGCAAATTAAATTTTTTTCGGTTATGTTACACCGTTACACATAGGCAAACATTACCTTTTAGCCTGTACGCCAACCTGTAGGGGAGTTTGAAATCTTACTTCTACTACTACTACTACTACTATTACTACTACTACTACTATTACTACTACTACTATTACTACTACTACTACTACTACTACTACTACTACTACTACTACTACTACTACTACTACTACTACAGATTTCTACTTGTTCCCACTGCAGTGGGCCATCGAGGGGGGAGGATTGTGCTAGATCGAAACAGGGACCAGCTCAAGGTTCGACACACACTTTAGGAATGCTTTCCCATAACAGATATGATACACGAGGCGTGGTGACGCTCCAGGCTGTGGGCTGTCTTAGAGCCACACATAAATGCTCGATCCTGCCTTCGGTCTCTATTATTTTTTTTGACACAGGACCCAGGAATGCAAAGCCGGAGAATGCGATAGAAGTATTGAAAGTCTGCAATCACTATGAGCTAACTTACGCCTAGGTTACTGTTCTTGATTCCATGATGCGATGAAGTACATGGCGAACATCGTCGGTAACGACGGTTAAGCTGTCGGCTATGAACACACCACATCATCATATTATCCGCAAGACTAATGCAAGGTACCGTGTCGCAGCAGCAATTTGGGTGAATTCCCATCGAAAGATCAATTTCACTGATAATGTCAAAACACCATCAAATTGCTCAGCATTGAAGAGAGAACATGTGAATTCGCGGTCACTTCAATGACTGAATGTATAATTAAATGGTAAAACAGATTCATTCGTTGCGCAAAAGCCTCTATCTAATATTAGAAATAGGCATTTGACGGCGTCTCTCGTTTCTTGCCTTCGCCCCGAGAGCCAAAGACAAACAATCAATTCTGTATTATGCTCAAAGTGTGCAGGCTTTCGCTGGTGAACACAGGCTGCATTAGCAAAAGCAATATCGAACTGCGCGAGGAAATTCGAAGAGTCCAGGAGAATTACAATGGTAATTAATACTAACTCGCACCGTTAGGCCTTTTAAGGCCAGCCAGATAGTGAATAAAAACAGACGGGATGCCTGTTATCTCTCCCATCTAAATCGGAAGCGTCCTTCTGGGTTTCCAGATGGAAATAAGGTTATGATAGAGGACAGACAATAGGCGTAGTTTGTGTTTAGTTGTCCAGCGCAGAAACCATGCTCAACTTTTCAACATGACCAATCGTTATTTCAGTTCGACTGCTGGTCCGTGGTTGAGAAAAGAATACCCCAGTTTTAAAAAATAGGTGTCAAATGTGTACAGTGAATACTAAAATTTACATGGCCTGCATTTTGGAGAAACGCGAGAAGCCTTTCAGTAGAAACATCTTTATACAGCTGACATTTGCAACAACAAACGGCAGTTCAAATTGGCCCAAAATACTCAAGTATATGAAAGTTTTGTTTTCCACGACAGACAACCAGTCAACAGCAAGTCTTTAATTCCTTGTGAAAGTGCTTGTTTAGAAAGACGTAAACAAAAAACTTCAGTCCGTAGGCTGTCAGGGCGAGGTTAGTTGTTACCATACGGTAAATGATGTACGTTGGACAGTAATGAAATGCGGCGGTACATAAGCCAAAAACTTGAAAAATTCGCTGGTATGACAGCGCCTGTGGGATCTCCCCGAAAAGGAATAATAAAATCACAGCGATGAGGAGGATGGTGAGTTTTTGTTGGGCGGCCTTCTTCTTCTGATTTTGCTGCCGCTGGTGACTCTGAGTTGCCACACCCCTGGGGAGCTTAGGGTTTGAGTGTATCCATTTGTGGCGACCTCCGGGAGACACCATATCAGTAGACTTTCTGCTTGTGAAGGGTCCAGCCTCTTGCTTCTCCAGCAGTGGGGCGCAGGGCTCGAGGCTGTTTCGACTGCCGGGGAGTAGAGTGGCCACATTGGCCGCCTGTGTCTCGTGGTCGGGTGTGATGTCAAAACTCTCCGACTTAACGACCGCCGGGCTCAGGCGATTGTCCATTTTCAGGCCCTGTGACCTGAAACGACTGTTGTGCTCATAAACCAGGATGAGGAGGAGAATGTTGGAATGACAGAGGAAGAAGAGGGGGATTATCTGTACAAGAAATATCCGCAGCCAAGAGTAGACTGTGTAAAAACTGGAGTCACCAAAACGCGTTGTGCTGGAGACAATGCGCACGGCGCCATTGCTCTTCTTTTGCACCTGCAGTTGATGAATCATGAAGTAGGGCAGGTTGAGGACGACGGAGATGGCGGTTATAACCAAGACGAGTCTCCTGGCGTTTTGCCGGTGGCAGTACTGCTTGGAGAGATTCCAGTGCTTCATTGCCACAAAACGCTCAATAGCCAGACAGACAGTGAGCCAGGCGCTCATGTTCTCAGACATATTGGTGATGGGGACCTCCACGTAGGTTGCGTAGATGTAGGCGTAGATGGCGATCATCTTTTGTGTTACCGAATTGCCACGGTAGCTGGGCGAAGAGAGAAGAATGCCAGACGTAAAGGAATTTAGTTTTTGCAAGAGCAGACACAACGGAAGGTTGTTAAATAGCGGTAATCGTTTAAGGAGCCGCCTAACTGAAGCTGTATCACATGTCTTTCCAGAAGCTGCCACCCGTGTACTGTTCTCCACTAGTCCCATCCTATACGGAGATGACAAGGACAAACAACCCGCTCAGACCACCTCTTTGTGTACGTACTTCTTTACCTGCTCTTGTGGGGTAGAATATATTGGTCGAACGAGCAGGCGTCTATTCAAAAAAAATAAAAGAACATCTTCCAGCATGGTTAGGAAACGGTCGAATAAAGAACATCAACAGCTCTATCGTCGGGCACATGGTAGACACAGACTACCGTGTAGACGCCGGAGAGGCCTTTAGAGTGATTTACAAGGTCCCATCAAGCTATCCAAAACTGCTTGGGCAGCGCTTGTTGGCTACAGCAGAGGCGGCTGCAATCAGTCTACGCGGGCCGGTCCTATGCGCACAAAATAACTTCATACAGGTCCCACAGTTGGCATGGGTCAACACCACCAAGCCAGCTACCCGCATGTAATTACCTTCACTGGAACCCACTTTTTCCCTTGCGTTAACTGGAATTGCGGTTTTTCACTGTCCCCTTCTCCTACTCTCTCCAAACCCGAGCTATAGCTTAATTATCTACTTGCCCGTATCCTCTAATTCATTAACTAAATAGCCATATACATGTACAGGCCTTAAGAGAATACATCGAAAGCAGACGTATGCTTGCCAAATTGCCTTCGGAATTGTTTAATTCGTAAAATTATGTAGGCTTTATTCAGAACATTATATTAAGTCAATCTTTTTGTAAAACCACCACGTTAAACGGCCGAATAAGGGTCTCCACGCGCTAGAGGTGGCCTTACGCCAATTTCCAGGGATTACCTATTCCCGTATCATATTTTGTCCGCACCCTACCACAAAATCCCCGGGGCTCAATCTCAACCTACCTAACACTGACATCCTCGGCATTTAGCGTAAGATCATCCAGGTCAGATGTGGTTATGTAGCTCTACCTGAAGTAAACAAACCCCAGCCCCCACGTAATATGGGACCGGTGGTAAGAGGGGTTTTTACGGCTGGGGCCGGAGAACGCAGACACGACGAGGTCGAGTAGTTATGTGCAAAAGAAAAGCTATTGGGAATGCGCGGTTGTAGGTTGATTGGTTAAGAAATAGTTGTCCTAAACCCTAACCTTTACCCTAGACTTTAACTCTAACCCCTAACAACAACCCCAACAGTATCGTGTTCATCAGGTGTGGCTACATAACCACATCTTACAGCCCCTGTAATTCGTGGATAATTATTCCTATCCCCAAACAATCTTCTTTGAGTATTTTATCAAGAACGCCATTGTTAAATCGGGAGTGTGGATCCTTTCTAATTCAGTCCAATATTCCAGGAGATTGAGTGAGATTAAAGTGTGCGCTGACAGGAAGCATTATAAAGTTTTGTTATTATTTAACATACTGACAACACGGGTATTGCAAATAATTACGCAATTGTGTACTACGGGCTGTCTGTTGGCGGTTTGTGAATATTAAGCGGTCATTCCGCAGTAGCGCATTTGTTCCCGCGGAAATTAAGCAAGTTAAGAGAGCAATATCTTTGATTTCCTTTTGTGCAGTCACTAGCATTTTCTTTGTCTGTTGGTTGCTATAATACCTAGCACGAAATAGACAGAGATTCGTAGACCGGTGCGACGATATAATTTAACTAAATAAGGTTTGACAGACGGGGTTTAATCGATGTGCCAACTGTTTCATCGGATGGGTAACCGCGAGTAATAATTTATCTTAATCATCAATCTGATTGGAAACGAGTCCTCTTAACACGAAGGTTACAGGAATACCTACTATGAACGCTCTACAGTTATAGTGAAAAACGGTTTATTATGCCGCAAACTTAGGAGTTTAAGGCTACCACATTAAAGTATTAGACAGATTTCTCCCTGGCTTCACGTAAGGACGAAATATTTTGGCAAACAATGTTTGACCACCCGCTTCCTTGTGCTTTTGAGTTGTGTAAAAAATTTATCTCCTTCTATGTGCTCATCATATCTATTTATCGTTCGGAAACGTAAGTGGAGGTTTCATGCCGTAAATATGAAACTATAGCTCGAAATGTCGGGGTCAACGGAGATATGCATGGTCATAGATGATCGTCGTAATAGTTAAGGTTGTTAATAGCAAACGATTGGACGAACCGCCAAATTTTAAATACCATAGAGTAAAAACATGTATGATAAAAGCTTCTTTGAAATGTATGGAAATATTTAAAAGGTTAACGAAGGGATTAAAGAAAAGTGAACCGCCAAATCTTAAATACCAAAGAGTAAAAACATGTATCATAAAAGCGTCTTTGAAATGTATCGAAGTATGCAAAAAGTTGGCAAAGGGATTCGAGAAAAGTGACTGGAGAACAGCCCTTCCTAGAGCACTTGCTCGCCATGCAAGTTTCAATTGTTGTTTGCGGTTAATAAAAGTTTCATATGTGTTTGGACCAGTGTTGCATAATGTGTGGTTTTAAAACTGTTAATGCGACTACATTAAAGCAACTGCCAGTCCTCGATTATAGCACAGACGCGTGCGTTGCGACTGATTCTGCCAAAATGATTGGGAATGTAGCTACAAACTGACTGTCGAAAGGATCGCCGTATAGTGCTCAGCGATCTCCAGTAAATGATAAACGCTGGCTAAAGTCTCTGGGCATTTCTCGAAAATACTAACATTTATCGCGAGAACTTATCAGCGAACCAGCGCATGTTGGAATGGCTGTTTTTTGGCTGTCTGTCTGCTTTGGTCTGGCATCCGATCCCTAGTGTCCCCTGAATTTTCATTGATATCCCTGGCTTACTTACTGTTTACGTGAGGGCTCTACGCAGTTGCAAAAAAAGGTGCACGTTGCATATCACAAGCTTTACATATTACTACATTTACTAAAACATGCAATATTGTCACATGTTTCTTTGTAAACGGCCTTGCGGCACCCTCCAATGACAGAACGCATATAGCCACTTGTTTTAATCTGAAGATCTACAAGAGAGTTTAAGGTGCCCTTTAGGCCCAGCTGCACATTTCGCATATATTTTGAGTAACAAGTCGATGTTTTGCAGTTCGCTAAAAAGAGCCTGTGCTCGGCAAATATTTTACGCTAGTAGGTATTCTATTTATGGAAGTTAGATGCTTTCAGTTGTTTGAGCAAGGGTTAACCCGGAAAATATGTCAAAATCTGCAATTTATTATTTTCTCAGTTTAAACTGCTTTTTCTACGTACGTACTATTTGAGAATGATGAAGATTTGAGTATGTAAAGGGCATTAGTAATTTTTGGCCGGACTTCAATAATACTGAAAAAGCAGCTTTACTATGTAAGTAGGGATTCTGCTGCTTCTCGAGCGTGTGCTTTTACTTTTCAGATGTTTTTTGCTGCGTTTAAAGATGTGTTTTGGTAAGTGATAAACATTTAAAAGACCCCCTTTTACATGTTCTGCTACTGAACTACAAGTGATTGTCAGAACAGTTATTATTATGCTAGTATTAGAGTGAAATAGCAAATTGTCGAACTCCAAAAATAAAAGTATTCCATGGACGCTGCTTTCCGGATTCAGTTCTGGTTTCAGGAATGGTAACATGACAAACAATATTTGTGTTGTGTCCGTAGAGGACATAATGCCTAAAAGAACCGTTCAACGTTTTTCCGACACTTTCAAAATAAGCTCGCTCAAATCCAACGGCGCTGTCTAGCTCCGGTCGATCGTTGAACATTATCTAAACTCACTTTCATAAACATGTTTGGCTCGTCAACAGTGTTTGCGCAAAATCGCACTAGCGCCCCCTTAGCAAATTATTCTCTGTAGAAAAGTGCAAAAGCTTGGAACGTGGGTGTCACATATCCTATCGGGAAGCAAAATGCATCGATGTCTCACTATGTCTGCGTGGCATAATACCACTTGTAGGCACGTATACAAGATTACCTATTGCATAGTCAATGACAACGCGAATTCGTGACTCTGAGTCAGTACGTGGCGTAAAAAGGGAGTGGGTAAGCTTCAATGATTGAATAATACTTCAGCCGCAGTAGGATTTGCATCTTGCTAAGACCATTAAAAGCATGTTGTGAGGCTGGGAGTATGAAGCTTATTATAGCATGGTTTAACAAAAACGGGCGGTGGAGAGAAGCCTCTACATTGTTAAACTACGCCTCCTAAACGTGCCTGTTTAACAAAATCGATTCAACTGCGCAGTTCAACTGGTTCTTCAGCATGACAAACTGTAAGCACACAAAGGTCAATCCGTCACATTGGCCACCAAGAGCCTGTCCGCGCTTTACTAGACTGTCATGTTTTCCATTGGTCTTCAATTCCAACGTATGACGCTGAGTTCAGTGGCGATCCAGATCTCAGAGGTTTATTAAGACCAACATATGTCAAGTGGGCGCTTGACTCTCACTGTGGTGGTTAGGATCTCACTCGATTTCACTCTGTACACCCGCCAGCTAGCTACTGGCGACACTGTAACAGAATATCAGCAAAACTCCTTACTTTCAGTATGACAAACCATAAGACATTTGCATACTACTGGGTGCCCGTTGTCTGTTAAAAAGTAATCCTCAGACATTCTGTCGAGACTGAAGAATACCGGCTTAAATAGTCGCATCAACTTCACCTTGAATTCCTACTGTATGTTCTTCTGTGTGCTAAACAGGCCGCAGTTTTAAATCATTTAGACAGCAATGTTAATGTATAGGCCCGATGAGAATTTATCGAAGGCTTACGTATGCTCGCCAAATTGTCCTTTGCACTTTTAAATAACCTACTGCATATATTTTGCGTCGGTAGCAGCAATCGCAGCAAACGCCAAAGGTCGTGGGTAAAGGATGCGCTGACTAGAGAAGATCCGCTTGTCATTTGACTTCCCTTCTCCCCAGAGAGTAAAATCTTTGTTTTAATAATGGCGTGCATACATAATCATGCAATTTGTCCGTCACATCGCGCGGGTCGCGTTGATCGAAACACCGAATGGCAATAAATCCAACTCTTTGGAGAAATCACCTGGGATTTGCCGACCAAAACGACAGCAACGTTTATCTTCCAAAGCACAGCGCACTCATAGCAAATATTTATAAGCAGAAACTTTGGGATATTTCATGGAATTGCCTCACAGTGGACTAGTCCAGACGGCTAAGGTGTGCCATTTCCGTGTTTTGTACTCGAGTGTCCAGGTTAAAAATCAGTCCTCCCGCGCGAACGTCTCCACCGAGTTCCATCTTAGTAATTGAACTATCGGCTTTATACGTATATTTTCTTTAAATATCGAGCTTCTTCGCCGACGAGCTAGTTTTTTCAGCGAGTTTTGGGGTGCAGGAGAAAATCCGGCTATGTAAGACAATTGAAAACGCTGAAAATCCGCATCGAGCATTTCAAAAGATATTATTTTTTATGCAAGCTGACTGCTGATGTTGGCATTGCTTTCAGCGTTCGGGTTACGCGACCTACTTCTCCGCTCGTACCTTATTGCTCAACATGAAACTCTCGCTGACAACCACGTAGCGATCGGGAGTATAAGTCGAAGCGTGTTCTGGGGAAGTCGAGGGAAGCTGGGATGACAGTTTTCGGCATATAAACTATCGTCAGCCAGCCCTATTCAGTCCCAGTTTTGCCGCACTTGATCCTCGAACCCGCAACGTTACTGACACCAAGATTCTACTGTTTGAGCTGCTGGCGGATGAATCTTCGAATGAGATCGGGAATATTAAGTTATGGTGGAAGTGCGTTGACTTGCAAGGTTATGGGGTCCATGCAAAGCTCTTCATCAGTCAAACGGCGATTTTATGTTGCGTCTCATGTCAAAGCGTTACGGCCAGGTCCCAATCCCTGATCAGTAAACACAATTTCAACATAAAATGCAGTCGACGACTTAACTGATGAAAGGTGTCGAAATGATTGCTAGTCACTCACAAACCGGCAAAATTGCATAAAAGCAATGTTTGTAATAATAGACAACAACCCAAGGGAAACTAAAAAGAAGGAAAGATATCAAGGCTTATTTTAGACTTTTTAAAACACCAGTTAACAATTATACTTGACTAAATGTCATTTTTAAACCTGCAGAAAGCTCACCCGTGAATAAGAATGCGTAAAAGTAAAACAGAAAAAATAAAAAAGCATCGGACAATAGGCTTTTAAAGAAGTTAAAATTAAAGCATCTTTTTAGGACAAGTGAAATTTCAGGCGGGTCTCTTTGCTAACAGCGTACATTTTCAGTATAAATTCAAAAAGAATTCTTGAGAATTTGTGTATTTTTTGCTTTTACAGTGCTTAAGATACGATTCCATATGAGAGACAGGGTCTCATTTAAAGTGCCCGTTAGGGACGCTATAGGATGATAGTGTTCACAAGGCCACATGTTCGTAGGCTGATCAGTGATAAATAAATTTGAATAGAATTGACCGACATAATCGGAAGTATAACATTTCGCGTAAATAAAGAGGTATTTTCTCCTGTTAGATTCTTCTGCACTTCAACTTTGTTCTAGCTTACTTTGCGTCTTAGATCGGCCTTTAAACATTGCTGAATACTCCACAGTCATCAGTGTTTAAAAACAGTTGTCCATAAAGGCAGAATTTTCTTATTATAAGTTTAGTAAATCTTACAAAAAAAGATAAATCTTTAAGGCATTTAATGAAAGAGCGGGTTTTTCCGCGTTCTTTCTCTAGTAAATGGTCATTGGTCTCAACAAGACCTGATACCTAATTGTTGAAAAAATGAATGTCTAACACAAAAGTCAACAAGCAATATGCCTCAGATCATCTGAAAAGCTCTTATAGTTGCCTATTCAGCGAGTGCTTCATTACTCTGTTTTAATGATGGGCTTTCGTATACTTTACATGTTTATACGGCAAAGGCAAGAGAAGTTAACATTACTGGCCGATTTTTACAAACTGCTGAAAGATACAGATATTTGTTCCACCGCAAACGGAAGAACCTGGCTTTCCTTTTATATTGCGGCAATTTTAGGTCTCCGCACACTTTTATTGTCAGTTTATGGTTATGAATGCACGACAGTGTGGCCATACAGATACTAGTGTATTGCTAAAAACGTTACCTTTTTGCTCGTTCCATGTCCAAATTACGCAAGCTCAGAAAATAGACCGTAGGAAAAGCAAGGTTTCGTATGATAGTCGTTTCTGTGCCAACCTGTGTTTTTTTCCAAGAGGTTAAGTAATTTGGGTCCATTACAACTAAGAACTGAGGGTGCGCGGTATAACTGAACTTTACGGCATGAAATCACACAGATTTTCATATCAAAGCTTCACAGATCGATGCAACGTCTAGTTCTTTAGAAATACCGTGTGGTTTTGCAACCATCTTCCCACGAAAAACATCGGATAAAAAATCAATGTTCCAGTGCGGCATGCCCTGTTTAGTAAAACTTGCAAGTGCTTCCTAATGCCCCTTTAAAGAACATTACGCTAAGATAGGCTAATGAGGACGAGAACAGGTATTAGCATAGGAAGTCGCTCGAATATATTGCAAAATCATTTAAGGAGATCCGAGGACCCAGAAAACTTTTACCAACAAGACGCATGGTTAAATCATATAAGCCCTGAAAAATTAAGGAAAGTCTGATTGCTTAATGAAAAGAAACTAGAGAAACAGCATAAGGCATGCAATTACCTATTCTTGAAATAAACTATTAGTGCTGGCTTGAGCGACATATTGTCAAAAGTAGGCAGGCTATCGTAAGTGAATCTGATGGTTTATTTCGGGTACATCAATTTCTAGGGAATATTCAAGCTATGGAGCTTAAGCTCACGCACCGGAATCTTCACGCAATATTTCAAAGGGTTCATTGGCCAGTATCCAAAGAACAGAAATTTTAACATCTTAATGATACTTATCTCACAGAAACAATGCTAAGGGACTGATAGTGGTTGTAATTGACAATCACTGTTTTCACTCATGTGATGCATTTGTGAAAAACGCGGCGCCCTTGTCGGACTCCGAACCCTCTGCCGGGTAGCCATATAGTGAATCCTAAACTGATGGCTTAGGAAATTCTGCTTCGGGTAGCCAGCTAAGTATATAAGATTTGGTGGATTCCATGAGTTGCAGTAGACTGGACAGGCTACTTGACCTAATGGTGGTTAAAACTACCGGTTTTTGTTCAGGCCTCGAAGCTCAGAGGTAATAGTATTGGCTGTACTCTAAACTTGCTGTTGCTGCCGTGGGTTGGATACCCGACGAGGTCGGCGATTTTTTTCTGATTCGGTGAAATTAATTATTCAGAAATGTCAAAACGTCAATTAATCATTGCTTTAAAAGCTCGACAATAAACGTCCAGATTTATGGTCAGGCAATTAGGCGATATTTATAAGATTGTTTTTGGCGTTCATCTTTTTAGTATTTTACATAAGTGGATGTCATCTGGACTCTTTGTAAAAGTAACAATGTAGCGATGAATGTCGTGTAATGCAGTTAACGAACTACATTGTGTTGGTTTCCTATTGCTGGGGAAAGGTAAAGAGTCCTATTCAGTTTCGACCTCCACTTCCAAGTTGCTATGAAGATAGTCTCTTGTAAACAAGTACTTGCAGGTTTGTCATTGTTCTTCAGCCCTTAAGAACTTAGCAAACATTCTTCAAGATGAATGAAATTCCTTCAAATAGAAACTCAATGATGTCTTGGTCTGAGCCCACAACGCTTTCATTGACGATAAAACAAGGACGACCTTTTTAATAAAAAAACACTTCATTTCGTTGTGCTTTTTGCAAGTAGCAGAAGCTGGGTCTTCCGCAGTTAAAAAAACAAGATTCAGTAGCTAGGTATCCTACATTGGCGCGCAAGGTACCTGCATAAAAGTGCACATTAGCAGCTAGATAAATGTGCAAAGCGACATGGATTTGCCTTCAAATTACCCATTAGTCGCTTGGTAACGAATGTTGTCGTTTTCGTAGCAACCCAAGCAGTCCAACTGACTAACGTTCTTATAATTTTGGGAAAGAGGGCTTGCTTTGTCTCGTATTTTTTGCTAGAATTTTTTTCTGAATCTGCTCCAAAGAAGACAGGCCAACAGATCACTATGATCAACTTTTTCACAAGGTTTTGTTGCTTTTAACACAACATCGTGTAATATAGCTGGACTAATTATTGAGGGTGCCCGTAACGACTTTGTAGCGCCTATGGATTGTTAAATTTGATAAATGTCGTGATGAGTATTGCTGACCATTTACGCCTGTCCTGCACGTTTCCCAATTTACCCACCAACTTAATATCAGGTGGCTCCACATCGCCCTATAAAACCATATTGACCTGCCAGGAATTTACCGATGTATCATCAAACTTCGTCAACTTTTTCCCAAAATGAAAATAAACTGCAAGTTTAGAATACGTTTTCTCCGACACCGGTCTCCTTTTCGATGTCCTTGCAGTCCAAATTTAGTTGTACAAATCGACCAAGGTCTTACCCCGATTTTACACAAATGTTCTGAAGTTGACATAAAAAACAGTTGTAATAGACTAAGACAGAACTCTTACAGATTCTTAGTTTGCACTAAGAAGCCGACAGTTTGCATCGCTTCTTGATAGAAATAGAGGTGATGCTATAAAGCCCATTGCGACGCGGTCAAGAACTTGCGTGGAAGAAAAGCTGTTAGGAATGCGCGGCTGCACTTAGATTGATTGCAAATGGTTTACCTAACCCCTAACCCTGCCCTTAACCTTAACCTCTACTTCTAAACCCTTTCTCTAACCTCTTACCCAACTCCTAACTGAAGTCCCTAATCCTAACCCCTAAAGTCGAGGCCGACATTATTGTGTCCATCAGGGTGGGGCCACGTAATCACATCTTGCTTTTATTTTTACAGTGTAAGCTTGCACATCAAGCGGAAAAATTCTAGAATTTTGACCTGAGCATGCACTTTCAGTCGTGAAGTATGGTTAGAACACCTTTCCAGGTATGGGGAGGTATGCAGAATGTGACAAAAGTAAGGCTGTTTTCCACTTGTTTACAGGGAGCGAAGTCCACTTTAATTTGAACAAGTCCGAGAGCTAACTGATGCATACGCAAAGACTAATGGGCGAATAACAAGCACCCTGGAAACCCAAGATAGATGATATCCAATGGACTTTTCAGGCTAAAATTCAGTTTATTTAAACAAGCACTGCATTCATCAGTTGAAGTCGCCGTCTGTTTTCGTAATTTGATTTCAGCATGTTAAAGTATTCAAAAGCATTACTAATTAAGTGATGGCGCCTCAATTCGAAATTTAATCTGTAAACATTTTGTGAGTTGCAGTTGCGGATGAATACAATGACGATGAGGCATGTGACAACACTTGAAATGCTGAATCTCCTGTGAAAGATACAATTTTCTGGCGCCAAAAATTACCTGCATGTTAAGCCTGAAATGACATTGTTTCATCATATCTCTTATAAGCAGCCTGAATACGGCAGCTAAAACATATGGCGCAACTTTCATTATCTTAATATTTTATCGACGATGAATGTAAAATATGCAGACTAAAAAGTTTGGTATGATTAGGGATTGCCGAGACAACATATCCCTCCATCGCATTCCCAGGTGAATAACTCAATAAGTTGTACCCAGACTAGGAGGGCATTCAAATACATTTGTCCACACTGTTCGGTGGTTTTGAGGGCTGAATTTCAAATAAGAGTTAAATACCTTGAAAATACGTTTCTATCTACTAAAGCAAAATTAAAACATAGAAATCGATTTGTTAGTTCACTGAAAACGACTATGTAAAGCAAGAAAAAATCATTAAATTTCATTTTATGCAGCACAAAGCGCAAAAGACGGATGAAATAAACCCGAATTATTGCATATTGTGATATATTACATTTTAATGGGAAAGAAAATTAAAGTGGATTCGGCTCATTCTTACGAAAAGAGAAAAGGATGCAATGATGATTTCAGAGAGTTAGACAGTATTAGATAAATATAGAGTTCTAATAGTTAATACTACCAGGAAATAAAACGTGCATCATCCACTTTAGGGAAAGCTGTGTTTACTAAAAAAGGTGTTTTTGCAATTCTGCCAAACCAGACCAAGAAGAGAGCATGCCTTTCTGACAGACTACATAGAGCAATATGATACACCTGCATTAAGGGTGAGAATCATGACTTTAGATGTTCTTGGTTGGTGAAAAACTAATTCAGCAACTGCCTACAAGGGTAAGGGTATGGGGTTTGCCCAGGGCTACTTACTCCGGGTAGCATTTGTGTTGAACAAAAGAGCTGGACACCTAAAAACTTCCCGATACCACAAACCACTACCTTCCATAGTGTCACTAATTAACATGGAACACTCGTCTTACCATTTACTGATAAGATTAAGCGAATTTAATGCTCCGAAGCAAGCACCGTCAAAATGGTACTACATTGTTTTTTTATCCTGATGACTACCTTAAAGCATCTTGACTACTGTTGCCTAACTAGCGCCACGAGGCCTTTTTGTTTCTTCCATTGGCTCGTACACGCAAATATCGTCGGTTATTTTACTAGCTCAATTGCTCCCCGGAGTACGTAACCCCGGTCCTAAACTATACATGTGCGAAACGAGTATTTTAGGAAGAAAGGCGAAAAGAAACAACCGCCGTAGTGCAGAAGGGGAGACAGAGAGGAATGCCCTTTATTTTGAAAGTATCGTTCTACAATTTGTGACGAAATAACAGAAAAAGATTAGCTTACTTTAAAATTATTAAACTAGTACGAGTCTCAGTTTCTGTAATTCGGCATCTGCGCGCGTGGCAGAGATGGTGCTACCGAACACTGGTATGCCGGTGTACGGTAAGGGCTTTGCTAGATGCCATGGCGCATAGGGCGGGAAGACTTCGTAGCCATTAGTTTACGGCGGAGGAGATGGACAACATCATAAAGAACTATATCATTTTGAATGTTAGGCTCATTCGAGGAACCAAACGCAGTTTAAAATGAAATCACACAACCGCAGAGCGATACAATATGGTCTTGTCCCGCCATCATGTGAGTCTAACGCTGCGGATGTTGACGTCGTTAGGAAAATAAGACAGTATCGCTTTTAATGTCATTGAAAAAAGACAGTTTAGGCACGACAAAACATGTGGGCAACTTCATGCATGGGCGCATGCACACTTATCTACTGGCTTTTTTAAGACTGGGTTCCAAAGAGTTAACAGTTGCAGGTCCTTTGTATGACGGCATAATACGGCAAAGGATGTTTGAGGACTATTTCGACAGTGGATACCAAAAGCTATGTCATCGTCAAACTCATTTGCCTTTGGGAATAAAGCGAGTTACCGTAATCAGTTACTAATATTACTAGCTGACAATAACGGTAAATGGATTGATCTGTAGAACAGCACACTTAATGTTTATTTAGTGCATCCAGTGCTATGGGGGTCTAGGTGAGAAATTTAAATCTTTGTAAGTTCAAAATTTGCAAATCGATTAGTCTGAACAAGGAAAAACCGAAGAAACAGGCCGACGTTAATGGAATCATAAAGTTTTGTGACGTAGTATTTAACTGTTTACGGTCAGTGCGTGTTAAGAAAAAAACTTCTTCTAAATCTATCCCCTAAAAATGCTTCAGTACTGTGATGGACACACCCATTCAGTGTACTCTGCGAGTACTGCTTTTCTAAAAGGAGAACATTGAATGGTATAATGACATATGAATTTAAATGTGTTGTTTAGCCACCGTATTATCACGTCATGCAGCAAAATAGAAATCGGTTTTCTAGTGATGCCGAGAGAATGAGGGCGGAGAATACGGTTTGAATAATATCATGAACATTGGTGATAAAGGCAATTCTTTTTGAGCATTTGGACATTTTATGTCAATCAGAGCTCGGGAACGTTAGCATGGTGAGCTTTTTGAGATTTTTCAGAAAAAATTGAACAAAATGTACATGTTTTTAGACTCACTAAATCAAGCCTTGAGGGATACGTAGGCCCAAAGTAATGGAGTCCGAAATCGATAAAGCGAACATCAGAAGATAGGCCGGCGCTGAAAACGTCTTGCGGGCGAATATGCAACTATTAACGACGTTCAACACAAATCCCACCAGACAAATGCAGGGTTGTACGTAGACGTAGCCGACAGAGGAAAAACTCAGAGCATATTCCACATTCGGCGTTAAGATAAGAGACGAAGAAGTCGACGAATTGTTCGCCATAGCTATTCGAACATCTGTGAGAACCAAGGCATAAGGGAAAAAGTATAAAGCTTGAATGTAGAATGTGCTGGCATGATGACTTTCAAACCCGTTTAAGCACAAA